CTTCTGATGTTTACATTTTTGCAATGGAGTTCTCACACATTTTTCATGTAAATAATGATTGTTTTGCATTCCTTTCTGGAGGAGGAGAAATTTGATGGACTGTTGGTTTGACCAGTGGTGTTGGAGAGGTGGCAATTTCATCCTCCAATGCAGGGTCACTTTGGGAATTTTATAAATATCGAGGTTGAGAAGTAAACTGCCCCTTTTTTACCTTGGACGTCCCAGCTTCTGCCTGTCATTCATTTTGTGTCCTATTGTGACAGCTGGGCTTTTGGCTTCCACCAAAGTCATGGGAAAACCCACGTTTGCTTCACAAATAAACCCAAACCTAGCGTTTTTTTGAGAAACCCCACGCAACAGCCAACATTTCATTTTTTTTAATTGTTCCTTAACTTCCTATCTGCAAATCTGCAGAGCTCTCTAACATAATCAGGTCCTCTGCACAAGGGATTAGCAGGCTTATATCCTGTGGATCCAATCAGCAAAGTCTATCAGCAAAACATACTTATGTTGATACAGCTATTATAATCTGCATAATTCTTCTGAGTTCACATACTTAATGGATAGCAAACAGAGTCATTACTGCTGCAACTTCCATCCGTAGGATCTCTACGAGCCATTCACTGCAGTGTTTTTTATTATTCATAGCTTTAGTTATTGATTTTCAGCAGAAGATACATGCTTTTAAGCACCATAAAAGTAAGAGAGGAAAACAAATAGCACTATTCCAAGATTAATACGCTGCTCATAATAAAAGTATGGCTGTCACATTGCGCTGGGTTGAGCCAGTGGAGCCTTGACAAATTCCATGCAAAATGGCTGAGTCGCTTAAGCAGCTCGTTAAATAATTTAAAGGCAAGTTTTACTGGAGGCAGGAAAGTTCTTCCCCAAATCCACTTCCTTCGATTTACGAGTCTGGAGTACGTTAATCAACACAAGCTGGTGCTGCATCCCAGAAGGGCACAGACCGTGGGAAGGGTTTGAGGGACACGGGATATAGGATATGATGGAGCGTGCTCCCTGTGTGGAAGGTTTGAGGGACGTGGGATGTAGGATTTGGTGAAGTGTGATCCCTGTGTAGAAGGTTTAAGGGACAGGGGATATAGGATATGATGGAGTGGGATCCCTCTGTGGAGGGTTTGAGGGACATGGGATAAGAAGAAGTGTGATCCCCACAGGAAAGTTTAAGGAACATGGGAGATAGGATTTGGTGAAGCGTGATCCTCACATGGAGGGTTTGAGGGACATGGAGTATAGGATTTGATCAAGTGGGATCCCTCTGTGGAAGGTTTAAGGGACTTGGGATGAAGTGTGATCCCCACATGGAGGGTTTGAGAGACATGGGTGATCCCTGTGTAGAAGGTTTAAGGGACAGGGGATATAGGGTATGATGAAGTGGGATCCCTTTGTGGAGAGTTTGAGGGACATGGGGGTATCGGATTTGATGGAGTGGGATCCCATGTGGAAGGTTTAAGGGACATGGGATATAGGATATGATGGAGTGGGATCCCTCTGTGGAGGGTTTGAGGGACACGGAGTATAGGATCTGATCCCTCTGTGTGTGATCCTTCTGTGGAAGGTTTAAGGAACATGGGATATAGAATAAGAAGAAGTGTGATCCCTTTGTGGAGGGTTTGAGGGACATGGGGTATTGGATATGATGGAGTGGGTTCCCTTTGTGGAGGGTTTGAGGGACATGGGACATGGGATAAGAAGAAGTATGATCCCCACAGGAAAGTTTAAGGGACATGGGAGATAGGATTTGGTGAAGTGTGATCCTCACATGGAGGGTTTGAGGGACATGGAGTATAGGATTTGATCAAGTGGGGGGTTTGAGGGACACGGGATATAGGATATGATGGAGCGTGCTCCCTGTGTGGAAGGTTTGAGGGACGTGGGATGTAGGATTTGGTGAAGTGTGATCCCTGTGTAGAAGGTTTAAGGGACAGGGGATATAGGATATGATGGAGTGGGATCCCTCTGTGGAGGGTTTGAGGGACATGGGATAAGAAGAAGTGTGATCCCCACAGGAAAGTTTAAGGAACATGGGAGATAGGATTTGGTGAAGCGTGATCCTCACATGGAGGGTTTGAGGGACATGGAGTATAGGATTTGATCCCTCTGTGTGTGATCCCTCTGTGGAGGGTTTGAGGGACATGGGATATAGGATTTGGTGAAGTGTGATCCCTGTGTGGAAGGTTCAAGGGACATGGGATATAGAATAAGAAGAAGTGGGATCCCATGTGGAAGGTTTAAGGGACATGGGATATAGAATAAGAAGAAGTGTGATCCCTTTGTGGAGGGTTTGAGGGACATGGGGTATTGGATATGATGGAGTGGGTTCCCTTTGTGGAGGGTTTGAGGGACATGGGACATGGGATAAGAAGAAGTATGATCCCCACAGGAAAGTTTAAGGGAGAATAAGAAGAAGTGGGATCCCATGTGGAAGGTTTAAGGGACATGGGATGTAGGATTTGATGGAGTGTGACCCCTCTGGAGCAAGGATCCCGAGCCATGGGTGCACAAGCTTGGGTGCAGTGATTATCCGTGCTCAAACCGTGGGACACCAGGAATCCTCAGGGTGGAGCAGATAAACCTGGAAAGAGCAAGGACAGCTCATCCTTCCCCTTTGCCAGCTCTCCAGCAGAGGATTGATCCCAAACATTTGAGTATGACCCAACATCCCTCTGCTTCCTACAGCGTGCAGGCTGCACAGAGCCCATTTAAAAGTCTAAAAATAGCATCGCTTTAAAAAAATTAAAAACAATCATGAAAACGCCGATTCAAGCAGAAAGATTTTGATTCAAAAATAGGGTTTTGATTAAAGGCAGTTTTCTTTGGTGCCCTGTCTTCCTGCAGGACTCACACACAGCAAAGAGACACTATCAAAACTGACATATTTGGGGTGACTTTTACTGTCTCACAAAATGTTTCACTAGAAATGAGCAATTCCCCTTCAGGATCCCCATCCCAGCATCCAAATCCCACCCAACACCCACTGCAGCTTTTAGTTCATTGCTTTATTCCCACTTTTAGTTCATTTTGTGCATCAACACCAGCCCAAGAGCCACAACCACACACGGGGAAGCAGCAGAAGGCCCCTGGCAAGTTTTGGGGGTTGCAGCACCAGACACAAATATCATTAAGAACAAATGATTTAATTAAAATGAAAAAAAATTATAAAAATTAATAAAACTTAAAACAAAAATTAAAAAACAAATTATTAATAAAAATTGTTGCAGCAATACTTTCACAAAATTCTTCCAACACCTGGAGGCACCCAGGACTCTGGTGGCAGTGAGGGCCCCCTCAAGTCTCCCGCTCCCCAAAGGTGGTTTTAAACAAGATTTTAAAAATTTCTTTTACATTTTTGCAGTGATGTCTCATTGCTGCTGCCATCCTGTTGTCTTCTTCATGGAGCAGCTCCATAAGGAACTTTGGGAAGCCTCTTCCAGAGAGAATTTAGGGGTGTCCACACCTCCTTAGTCCTGCCAGGAGAAAATCCAGGTGTCTTTCTGAACATCCACAGAAGATTAACATCCAAATTCCTTCAGGAACAACCCCAAAACTGTGCTCAGGAGCTCCCACATCCACAGAGCCCCAACACAAAGGTGATGTTCCCCCAGCCCCATTAATTACCACCCTCACTCCAATGCCACCAATCACTCCTCTCCTTCTTACTGCTCCTCCATGAGGTAACAAGGCTCAGGTGTTTTCCAAGGCCTCAAAGTTTCACATTTGCATCAGCAACACAACCTCTTCTTAACTTTAAAGAGTAGAAACATTAATTTTTTTTTCCTAGTACTAGGAATATATATAATTTATTATACAGGTATACTATACCTGTATAATAAATTCAATTTTATTTCATACTAATACAATTAATAGTAGTATTTCTTATTTTTAAAAATTATGAAGAGAAAATTCTCATACTTTTCTTAATGCATAGAGAATAAAAGTTGGGGGAAGTGAAAGCTTTTTTTAGCAGCTGTGAAATATAATAATAATACTAATGATAATCTACTAATAATTGTTAACTATCTAATATGCATAATATATAATTTTACAATACCTATTCTTTATATATTTTAATGGTATAATATATAAAAATATAGTATATATATTTTATATACTTTTAATGATAAAGTGTATAATATATTATTTCATAATGTATATTTTTATATATTTAAAATTATCAAATATATATCATATTATATAATAATTATATAACATATATTTTATATTTTTAATATCTAATTTTTAATATCTAATTAAAAATATCTATATTTTTAATATCTAATATGTAATTAGATACATTACATATCTAATCAATGTATTGTTTCTATTTTAATTACACTATATACAGAATATAGTTTTATTTTATATATTCTATATATTTTTAATTATAAAGGATATATGCGAAAATTCCATCATGTAGATTTTATTATTATATTATATTATATTATATTATATTATATTATATTATATTATATTATATTATATTATATTATATTATTTTTATAATTTTAGAGCTTAAAATGCGATACTCCGGTGAGACCTCCGGTCCGCTCGGGGGCGCTGTGGGGAGGCAGCACCGGAAGCGGAAGCGCGGGCGGAAGCGGCGGGCGGTGCCGGCGGAGGCCCGGGCGGTGAGCGGGGCCCGGAGCTCCCGGTACCTGCGGGCTGGGCGCCGCTGCTTGGGAAGGGGTCTGCGCGCTGGGGCTTGAAGCACGCGGTGAGCGACCCGTCCCCGTGCGCGGTGAAGGCTCCGTTCGGTCGCGTCGCTGTGGATACCTGGTCACGGCTCCGTGAGCCGCGGTGCCCGCTGAGGGGCTGCGCTTGGCGGATCCGTGCCCGGGAAGGGGCCTGGCTGTGCCCGGCCGCAGCGCTCGGTTCGGGCCCGGTCTGGGGAGCTCAGTGCCGATGAGGAGCCCGGTGCGGGGGGCCCGGAAGCCGGTCAGGGCTCCCGCTCTGCTGGGCTGTGCGAGCCCCGCTGTCCGCTTCCCGGTCTGGGCGTTCTGACCCAGCCCAGGGAGGGCTCCGGACGCGCTGAGGTTTCGGGGTGCTGGAGCCCGGTGCGGTTCTGCAGCCCTGCCCGGCACCCCGGCTGCCGCACCGCCGCTGCTCTCCCCGCCATGCCCTCGCGGTCCCGCCGGCCGCTGCTGGCCCTGCTGGCGGCCCTGGGCTGGCTGCTGGCGCTGCAGCTGCTGCTGGACCTGCGGGCGCTGGGGCTGCTGTGCGGGGCGCTGGCCGTGCTGGGCGGCTGGCTGGGCCCCCCGGCGCTGCTGCCCCGCGGCCGCCGCCTGCGCCTGGAGCGCTTCGTCAGCTCGCTGCGGGCCCCGGCCGGCAGCGCCGCCGACGAGGGCCGCCTGCAGAGGGAGATCGCCAGCACCGTGCGCAAGGTGGTGCGGGATTTCGTGGCCTCGTGGTACCGCACGGTGAGCAGAGAGCCGGCCTTCGAGGCCGAGGTGGAGAGGGCCATGCTGGGGCTGGCCGCGGAGCTGCGGCGGAGGATGAGGCGCGTGGACCGGCGGGCGCTGGCCCGCCGCCTGCTCCTGCTCTGCGGGCAGCACCTGCAGAGCTTCCTGCGGGCCCGGGATGCCCTGAGGGCCGAGCCCAAGGGCGGCCGGACGCTGTGGAGGGAGTACAGCCGGCTGGCGGGGCCGCACCCCGCCCTGCTGAGCCCCGCGGCCGAGGTGGGCTGTGCCCGCGCCGCCGTGGACGCGCTGCTGCAGGCACTGGTGCCCTGGCCGCACCTGGAGACACGGACAGGGCGTTTTGTGGTGGTGGAGCTGGTGGCCTGCAACGTGCTGCTGCCGGCCGTCAGGAAGATGTCTGATCCCGACTGGATCAACCTGCTGCTCATCGGGGCGTTTTCCAAGAAGCCCCGGGGTGGGAAGCCCCACCCTGCACCCCCCGTGCCGGATTCCTTGCCTGTCCCGGCACAGACTGACACAGCTCCTGCCGGGCTCCCCCCGTCCCCGAGGGCTGCCGAGGGGCTCAGGAGAGAGGCTGGAGAGGAGGGAGAGGAGGCGAGCAGGTCATGCCATGCAGAGGAACCCTACCTGCGCCCCCAAGCTCTGGGATCCCTCTTCCCCTGTGAGGGTTTGGAGTTGGAATCCCCTGCACCTGACGTGGGGCAGGATGCGGAGCTGCTGGCTCCTTCTCCTGCTGGAGAGCTCCTTGATGAGCCTCCCCAGGACCCTTCTGTGCCAGAGGGAGCACCTGCCTCAGAGGATGGCACAGGGGACCTGGACCACGGCCCTGGCCCCAGCTCGGATGCTGGCCTGCTTCCCACCTCTGCTTTGAGTTCCTGCCCTGACATCCAGATCGAGCCAGCGGCTGAGAAGGAGGAGGAAAGCCCAGCTGTCCCCAGGAGGTTCTCCTCACAAAGACCCTCCAGCCTGGGGAGAGATCTGGGGGCAGCAGAGGGCCCAGCACAGTTTCCCCCAGAGCCTGGGCAGAGCCTGCCCCTGCTGTCATCCTCCCCAACAGCTTCCATGAGCACCTTCAGCTTCGAGCCCCTGAGCAGCCCCGAGGGGCCGGTGGTCATCCAGAACCTGCGGATCACCGGGACCATCACTGCCCGCGAGCACAGCGGCACCGGCTTCCACCCCTACACCCTGTACACCGTCAAGGTGAGGGCTCCCAGGCACCCTCCCACATCTGGGCTGCTCTTTGCACCTGAGGACTGGCTCTGGGTGGGTCTCCACAATAAATTTTGTCTGGGAGCGGGGAAACACTGGGCACTGTGGCTGTTTGGGATTCTTGTGGGGCTGGTTGAATCTTTTTTGCTTTTGTTCCATCGTGATTGGTTCCTTCCTCTTCAGGGAAGGGTTTAGTCAGGAATTGCTGGGTGGGGCCTGGGCACTGAGGGGCAAGCAGGGAGCAGGGCTGTTTTGGGATGTGTCAGGACGATGCCTTTGCTTTCCTCCTCAGTATGAGACAGCCCTGGAGGGCGAGGCCACGGGCAGCCTGCAGCAGGTGGCTTATCACACCGTGAACCGCCGCTACCGCGAGTTCCTCAACCTCCAGACCCGGCTGGAGGAGAAGCCGGAGCTCCGCAAGTTCCTGAAAAGTCAGTGCCTGCCATGGCTCTCTGAGAAAATCCTTCTGCCTCTTGTTCCATTCCCTGTTCCTCTGCTCCCTGGGTTTCCTGCCCTGCTTTTGCAGCTTTCCTGCCCACATCCTCCAGTGCTCTGTGCAGAGCTGGCTGGAGAAATGATTTATCTCCTCTGGAAGTAAATTCCAGCGTTTCAAACCATTCCTCTTCCCATTCCACAACAGCTGGCTTTGTAGTTTTGCACCTTAACAGTGGATAGAAACACTGTGTATTGCCTTGGGCTGATGCAGGCAGTGTGTGGGGATAGCTTTAATCATTAGAACATTCAGGTTTTAATAAAGACTAAAATCTGTAGATTTAAAAATTTTAATTTTTAATCTTGAAAATTTTTCTATTTTAAGATTTAAAAGTCTTTTAAATTATGGTTACTGTGATTTTGCAGTTTTCTCAAACTTGCCTGTGGGTTTGTTTCCTTTATAGACATCAAAGGACCAAAGAAACTGTTCCCTGATCTGCCATTTGGAAACATGGACAGTGATAAAGTGGAAGCCAGGAAAAGTCTGCTGGAATCTTTCCTAAAGGTGAGATGTTTGTGTGCTCCTGTGTGCTAAAAGCAGAGCTCAGGACAGCTTTGTGCAGACAGTGCAGCACACCATGTCTCTTCCGTGTTACATGATCAGGTTGGGAGCTTGACTCCAAAATGATCTAAATCTCCATCTATGCTTGCAGCAATTGTGTGCAGTCCCTGAGATTGCAAACAGTGAGGAGGTGCAGGAATTCCTGGCCCTCAACACCGACGCCAGGATCGCCTTTGTCAAGAAGCCCTTCGTTGTCTCCAGGATAGACAAGGTGGGAAAAGTGGGGAGCTGCTTACCTGAGTCCTTTCCAGCTGCCCCAGAGATGCTTCCTAGGCTTCAGTGTCTCCTAGGAGCCAAAACCCTTTCTTTGGAGCTGAGCTCAGCTTGCCCAGAAACCCATAAAGGGTCAGAGTTTATGTTAAAGAACCTATTTAATAGAAAATCCAGTGCAAGTCTCAAAACTCCTGATGTATGTAAGTAACAAGGATCAATCCAGTAATCAAAGGCGGTGCTGGCTTTGCAGATCGTTGTCAATGCCATCGTGGACACCTTGAAGACAGCGTTCCCCAGGTCAGAGCCCCAGAGCCCCACGGAGGATCTGAGCGAGTCAGAAGTGGATGGGAAATCCCAGCCAGATGGGAAGAAAAGCAAGTAAGGGCTCCCTCAGCTTGGCAAGAACAAGGGATTAATGCACAAACTGAGCCCATGGTGGGGCAGAACTGACTTGGTGCTTTGTGTTGGGTAGTAAATTCTGTGTTGGGTGGTAAATTCTATCATACTCTAGCTAAATTACTTCCTCCTTCCCTTGCTGACCACAACTGCTTGAGCTCCAGTTTATCTAGAGGGCTGACAGTGCCCAGTCTCATTGTGATTGTCTCATCAGTGGTTCTTCCCTCACCAAGAAAGGGAAGATTTCTGCACAAGTATGGCTTTTCTGTCCAAAAAGTGATGTTTTGCTGGAAAAAGCTGCTTTGGACAGAAAGACAAACGCGAAAAGTACAAGTTTGGAACCATTTTGGCTGAAAAGGACATTCCTTAATGATAAACAGGCTATTTTATAATTTGTCCCAAAATCCCAATGTCCTTTCATATCCTTCTTTTTGTCAGTGTTTATAATTGGATTTCACAATCCTGCTGAGTGTATTTCATCTCAGAGGCTTTTCTGAACACTTCCCTGTGTGTGCTGCAGTGCTCACACCTTGCTGACATCTGCCTACGTCTCCCTATCAGCTTCTGTGTAACAGCTCCTTGTGGCATGCTGGAAAACCTTGGCTCAGCTCAGGTGTACACGAGGAAAAGTGCTTTACAGCTTTTGTTGTGTGGTTTCACTGCCATCTCTTAGTTATCCCGGAGGCAGATGCTTTTTCTGAACCACTTCAGGTCTAATCAGATTTCTTAGCTTGCATGTGGCAGCAGTAACAAGTCCTGGGGCTTGGCTGAGGCTGGAAAGCTCATGACTCAGCTTGCAGAGAAAACTGACTGTGCCATGGCTCTGCTTTTCAGGTCCAGGCTGAGGTTCTCATCCAGTAAAATCACTCCAGTGCTGAGTGTGAGTGAAGCTCATGACAGGATCGTGTACTCCATCAGGGAGGGCAATGCTGTAAGTTCAGATCCTTTTGTAATCATTTCACAACCCCAATCACTGCCCTGTTTGGGAATAATCAACATCCACCAGGGCTGTGCCTGCTGCAGCCTCGTTGCCACAGGCCAGCTCTTGGCAGAAGGACAATAAGCAGCCCTGGTTGTGCTGTTGGCTACACCTGGGTGCAAACCAGGAGGTGGGAGGTTGTCTGGGCACTGCAGACCCCAGGCTTGTGGCACTAACACACTTTTGTAGGTCTCTGGCACCCTGTCACTGGCTGCTATGGAATCCTTCATCCAGAAGCAGGAGAAGCTGCTGGAAGCAGTCCCCAGCAAAGCTCCTGAAGGCCAGGGAGGCAGAGAAGCCAGGGAAATCTCTGTGCAGGAAGAAATGGATGGGCTGAGCACAGTGGAGCAGGGAGGACATCCAGACACTGACTCTGGTGAGCTCAGCCCCTCTCTCAGTGCTTGAATTTCTCCCCCTCGGCACCACAGCAACTCCGACATCTGCAGGTTCAGCTTGAAAAGTCTTCAGGACCTGCTCTCCTGCCTGTTGCATCTTGATTGAAGGGAAAGCAAATCAGGTTTTCCAGTGCTGTTTGGTGATTGCTCTGGGCATTGTTGCTGGTGGAGCAAATTGGGTTTTGGCTCAGTTGTGTCACTGCAGATCTTCACCTTGGTGTGCTCAGCACAGTCACTGCACAAAGAGGTTTTTTAAGGACACGCTGCTTAAACTGGCAGTGTTCTAAAATCAAGTTCTTACAAACTAAAAATGGGCCAAATTACAGTTTCCTGGTAGTTTCCAGTTAGCTTTGATATGTGCATACACTATAAAAGGATTTGAGATTAAGTTCAGATTTGATGGGAGTAGCACAAATGTAATCTCAGTTCAAGGAATGATGTTCCCTTTCTGCTTCTAGAACCCTCCTCTGAAGCACAGGGCTGTCTCAGAACAGTTACAAGATTATCCTGAACACATACAAAAATATGTTCTCCAATCTTTTTCTTGGAATAGCTGAGCTGTATCAGCTGGAACTTCCCAAAAAACTTCTCTCCAGTGGTTCAAGTTTGGCAAGCTCTGACTGAAAGCACGTGTTTGTGACAGGATAGACCTGGTGTTCTGAAACCCAGCCTGTGCTACCAGCTTTAATCTTGGAACACATGCCCGTGGTTCTGGGGAAGCAGGACTGGAGTTGGAGGCCAGGGTTCTGCACAGAGCAGGCCAAGTTAGCTGAACTTGAGAGAAGTGGAATGTCAGTGATCTCAAATGCTTGCAGGTCTGGGATGCTTCAGGCTGGGCTAGCAGGATGAGGAAAACAAATGTCTGGATAAAAAGGCAAACCCATGTCCATATCTGCTCAAGGAGTGACTTCTGAGAAGTGGTTGGCCAGCAGCTCTCTGAGGAAGAGGATTTGGGTGCCGTGGGAATAAACAGCTTGCTGAGGATGCTCCCTGTGTGAGGTTCTGGGGAGGCTCCAGACTGCACTAGGAGGTCTCGGGGAGTCTCAGGGGGCAAAGCAAATGGGCAGTAACTTATGGCTCAGAGCAAGAGGTGCCAAGTGCCCTGTCTTTTCCAAGTGAAATCCTGGAATGAATTAGTCCAGCTTTTAGGAAGAGCAGAGGAGAAGAGGTGTAGGGCCCAGAATCCCTCCTCCCTTTATTTCCAGTAATAAATGTGAGTGTAAATTGTCTCTGTAGACAGAGAGGTTGGAAGATGAGGGATGAGAGGAGCCAAATTAGGAAAAGCTGCTGCACAGGATCTCACCTGGACAACAAAGCCGATGTAGCAGCCTCAGGTTGGGGTGGTGGTCTAGGAGTGGCTGGCTGGGGCAGTTTTGTGGCACATCAATGAGCTTGTTCAGCACAACACCTCAAGGCCAAACAGCATGAAAGTAATTCCTTAGCGAGTAGAAACTGTTTCTGCTGAAGGCTCTGACATCCACCTGAGGATTAGAGGGAGGTTTGGTGTCCCAGGTCTGTGACAGCAGAGATATTTGGGTAGGTGTGTTGTGTTTTAACTGGTAGATCTGGTTTATCCAGATGTGTTTCATCCTGCTCCCTGCCAAGCCTGGGATCTGCCACACGATGGCAGCCCGCAGCCACCAACAGAGCCTCGTGCCTGGAAAACTGCTGGAAGCAGGGAAAGGAGTGGGGAACACCAGGGTGACAGTCCTCAGCAGTGCACCTCTTCCTGGCTACTGTCACCACCTGCTTTGTCACCTGTTTTGGGCACGTGGCGATGCCTGTGCATGGACTGGGATTTGATAATCCTGCTGTTTAATTAAGAAGGAGCTGAGCCTTTGGTGCAGCCCTTGGTGGGAGACTGGGGTTGCCTGGATGAGCTGGAAGTCAGTGGGGAGGGCAGGGTCCCAGGCTGGCTGGGCTGCAACAGGTCATCTGTGTGTGCACAAAGGGCCAGGCTGGGGAGAAGAGAATGAGTTTGGGATGATGCTTTTCACTAGATTTGCCCTGAGGTGGCTTCTTCATCTGCCCCTCCTCTTCCTCCTGGCAGACTCTGAGACAGCTTTGGCTGACCTGGCCATGGACGTGCTTCGTCTGGTGCTGGTGGATCACTGGGGCTGGCTGTGCACAGAGAACATCCAGAAGGTCTTCAACCTGCTCTTTGGGACTCTCCTTCAAAGGTAAGGCCAGAGTGACCAGCCTTGGCTGCTCTGTGAGAGGCATTCCCTTTGGAGTCACAGTTGGAAGTGGATCTCGTGCCTGAGTGCAGATAAATGCTGTGTGTGCACCAGCCAACAAGGTTCTGTAAAGCAGGTGCTCCATGAATGTGGAGTAAACACCCCTAAGGATCTGCACCAGGAGCTGTTTTCTCTGTGAGCAGTGGTGCAGCTCTAATGGGCAGCCTCCTGTCCCTTGAAATCAGGGAAAGGGAAGATCCAGCCCTGGGAGTGGGAGTCTTGGCTCATGCAAGGGCAGCAGTGCCCAGCTCTGGGGCTCTCTAGGGAGCATTGGCCTCCTGGTTTGTGCTCCCCAGGGCTTCAGCTTGTTCCTTCTGCAGAAATAGAATAAACAGGCCCAGGGAGCAGTGACTGTCAGTGGCAGCTCGCAGTGTGGTCTCTGCTCTCACTGCTGCACCCCTCTGCTCTGCCTGTGCCTGGGGCAGGGACCCACACATGGAGTAGGGACAGGCTTCCTTTCCAGCTGGGATGGACTTGCCAAGCTTTCCTGGGGCCAGGGCCTCTGGGTGGTAAGGCTCAAGGCCAAGACACACAAACAGAGAATTCCTGTTTTTTGGTGTAGGTTGGTGACTATCGCTAGCTGAGGATGTGGTTTTTTAGAGCACAAGGAAAGCCTTCCCTGAAGGGCTTGGGAGAGTCTTGGAGCAGTGCTTTTCCCATTCCTGTGCCCCTTCTCCTGCAGGCATCCAGAGCCAGCATCAGAATGTGCAGGGCAGCTCATTATAACAGAGCTGGTAACCTGAGCTGCCCTCAGCAGAGGTTGCCAAAGTGCTTTGAGGTCAGTCCTGGTCTGTTCCTTCAGTGGCAGGAGGTGGGGGCTGCTCCCACTTCTCCAGAATGGGCTCTGGCCTCTTGGGAACAAGCTGCAACCCAATCTGTGTGTGTAAGCACAGAGGTATGAGAGCTTCAACAGGCACATCATCACCTCCTAATAAGCTGTGTCCTGGTCACCCAGGGAGCCTGTAGCACCCACATGTGGCATTGGCATTTTCCACTAGAGAAGTTGGGATATACACAGCACATCCTGGCTCTGGAAGGTGGAGGAGCTCCCTGAGTTGTGCTGGTGGAAAGAGTGAGGAGGAATGTGTTTGTAGCTGCTCCACTTGAACAGGTCAGAGGGACCCCACATGTGCTGCAGGCAGAGCTCTGGCTGGGGTGATATGGGGAAGCCCTGGGACTTCTTGGTGTCCCCATCAGAACAAACCCTGTGTCTCTGCTGAAATCCATATGTTGAGGCTGGCTCTGCTTTTGTTCTGGGACAGTCAGGAATCCCAGGGGACAGGGGAAGGAGCTGGACAATGGGGACTGACCTGTCACCTGGAGGATGGTGTTGCACCTGGGTTGCTGCAGGGAACATTTTCTTCCCATTTCTGCTGCCTGTAGTTGTCTCCACAGTGGAGGAGATCTAGGAAGGGGGAGCCTTCCTGATGTTTGCCATCCACCCTGACCCTGAGACTTCTGCTCATTCCTGGCCCAGGTGGTCGCTGCTGTCCTGAGCAGACCAGAAGGTCTCAGACCTGTCTGTCCAGGGACACTGTGGATTTGGTGACATTTCACTTCCATTTAAGAATTTACAATTTGATTACTGCTTGATCAGACCTGGCACTGCCATTTTGGCTCGCCCTGTGTCTGGGGACCCTTTACAGGTGGGGAAAGTAGCAGAAACTCTTCTGGGAGCGTCTGCTATTCAAGGAATTGATGCTCTTGCCTCTGAGAACAGGCAGATGACCTTGGGACAGCAGATGGATTTGCATTGTCTTCAACCATTGCTGGTCACAAAGTATGAGTGGGCTTCATCCCTTCAGGAAATTAGACCCTTCCTGTTCCTGCCAGTGGCTGGGTTAGGTGGTAGGGGGTGAAAAGGAGGTGTCCTGGCAGTGTTTGGAGGGGCTGCTGCTGGATACTCCTCTGCCAGCTTGTATTTGGAGAGTAGGTGCTGTTCCTGCTGCCTTCTTGCAGCTGCCAGATGAGGATTCTGCTCTGCCATGGGACACTTGATGCAGAGTGATAGAAATGACCACAAACCAATGAAACTCACACCAAGAACGAGATCCAGCTTCTCCCAAGAGCCAGTCCCCCTCTTCTTGGAGCACTTTCTGCCTTGGGCTGGCAGTGCCATCAGATGATTGCTGTGACCACACTGTTACTGATGGTGGGGCCTCCCGACCTGCTCCATTCCCTGTTCTCTGCAAGGAGCATCCCACCACACTCCTCCTTCCTCCTTCTCCTCAGCTGGGCTAGCTGGAGGCAGGCACCATCTGTCTCCCTGCCTGTCAGTCCCATGGCAGTGGGAGAGGAAGGCTCCATGACCGAAAAAGGGATTGTTGAGTAAAGGGCGGCCGCGTGTGTGAGCCCGGCTCCGCACTGCGCCCATCCCATTATGTAACAGGGAGTGATCCTTTTTTGGAGCTGAAAGGAGAGGCGGATGGAGGGGCTGCGAGTGGGAATGACCCTGGGGCCAGGATTGCTTCCAGCAGCCTCTCTGCGTGCTGGGGCCGTGCCTGTAAACAAACCCTGTGCCCCGCTCCCGCCTCCGGCCGGCTCCGCTTCCCTCCCGCGGGCTGCTCAGGATCATCTCCCTTCCCCTGGGAGGCTGCAGCAGGAACCTGCTGCCACAGGGAGGAGGTGGGGCTATTCTGGGCCCTGCTGTTCTGTGCAAGAGCTGCGAAGCATTTGGAGAATCTGGGTGCTTTTTAGAGCCTTGTGAGTCAATGAGGTGTTAAAAATACATGGCAAATGCGTGCGCTGTGACCCCACACCCTGCTGTGACCCCACACCCTGCCCTCAGTCGTCCCCACAGTGGCCACAGGTCTGGGGGCTGCCAGTGCCCTGCAGAGCTGGGGACAGTGCTGGAGCCAGAGTGACAGTCACCACCTCTGCTTTTTTTTGGAGGGGAGCTCCAGCAGAGTGCCAGCACCCCAAGGACGGACTTGGGAGTATTCAAGGGGCAGATCCTGGTCTCTAAGCTTTTCCTGGCTCCTTCCCATGCAGCACAACAGAAATGCCATGGCCACAAAGCACTGTGTGAGGGGAAGGTGTCTCAGCACACCCTGGCTGTCTGTGCCCTGGAACCTGAGCAGGGCTGGGCACAGAGTCTGTGCCAGGCTCGGAAGTGCCTGTCCCTGAAAGGAGCATGTGGAACTACTCAGGCAGCTTTGCTGGTGTCATGTTCCACTGAGCATGAGTTAAAATAAATGCAAATCATCCCTGCCTTACCCACGAGCTCAGCACTGCTTGGCTTGCTGTTTGCTTTGGGTCATTCCCGTGCTCCTCCAGGCTTTGTCCATGTCCCCTCATCCCTTGGCCAAACTGGAAGATTTGAGGTGATATTCCAGGCTGTGAGCTGTAGGTGGAGAGGCAGGGATGATTTGAGACTGGTTGCAGGTCACCATCATGCTTTTGAGAGCTGGTTCCTGCAAGTTCATGCTGTCACCTTGGTGTTGGGCTCTGCTGGTGTCAGGCTGAGTGTCACAGGCACTTGTAAGTCAAGGAGGTCTGGAGCTTCAGAGAGCTGCTGCCTGGGTGCTTTGTTCTGATTTTCTCTTCGGTTCTCTTTGATCTCTGTGCCAACAGAACTGGCACAAAGACCCTTGGCAGCCCCCTTGGTCCTCTTGACTGGAAAGTGCCACCAGCAAAGAGTGATGCCTGACCCTCTTCAGTGTCCCTGAGTAAACCTGGAAGCAAAGCACTCCTGGGCTGGCAGTGCTGGGAGCACAGTGCCCATGGGCAGGGAGCTCTGCCAGCCCTGGAGGGGCCATGTCTGGCAGCTCAGCCTGTGCTCCCACTTCCCTTTGTCTTCCTGGCTGCCAGGTACCACTCCAGCCTCAGGCAGTGCCTCTGAGTTCTGCTGGCAGAAATGCAACATCAGTGCAGCTGGGGCATCTGAAACCACTCACTCTCCTGGTTTGTTACCTGGGGAGTGGATTTGGTCATGTTTGATGAGGATCTTTGCAGCTGCACACAGAGGGGCTGTGCTGGCAGGCCCAGGTATGTGGCAGCAAAGTCCCTGTCCCTAAAAACAAGCCTAAAAGCAGCACCAGAGTTGGGAACTGGGAGAATCAACCTCATGGCATCTTACTCCTCATTTCTGGGTTTGGCTGTTTGTGTTGTAGCCGTGAGGAGCAGCAGGAACTGCAGCCTGTGGTATGTCAGTAAAAGTGATTTCAGGACTCTCTGTGTCTTCGTGTGTATATGCAAAGTAAATAAAATCAGCTTGGAAATGGGCCTCGATTCAGTTGTCTCCAAGCACCTGGAAATTTTGGATCTGGCTTTGAATCTCTGTCCCAAACAAAATTTTTTTCCCTCTTCTAGAAGCAGCATTCTTCCAAAAACATCCACTCGAATGAAGCCAGCACTCCATGCTTTGATAATAATTGCAACATTATTCTAACTCTGATTCTGTTTCAACGGTTACACATGCCAGCTTTCTTCCTGGAGTTAAAAAAGCTCAACAACTTCCTATTTCAAATAGAACAAAGAAGAAAAGGATTGAGTGGAAGTAATGTCTCCCTGTTGGTTTTAGTTTTCCCTGGTTTTAGAAGGGTTAATAGTGGATTTATGTATTTTGATTCTGAAGTGGGCTAATGAAGCAATTGTTCCAAGCAGGGCCTGGCTGAGACAGCCTGGCCTCTCCCTGGGGCACCACTGAGAGCTTAATTGGCTCAATAAATACTTGAAGAAGATGTTATCAAAAGCCAGGATGCTTTGTGAAAAATCAAGGAGGTTTGGGGACGATTATTTTAATCACATGTCTTTCCCCCCTTCCCTGAGCCCCAGGGCATCTCTGCAAGATCTAGATTGGGAAAAGCAGTGGTTAATTCCCTGCAGGGTGAAGCCATTGGAATCCTGTGAGTTTCCATGATTTCTTCTTGCAGCAGGTGAGTTTTGAGGGAGCAACACATAAAATGGCACAGAAATCCCAGCACCAAGGGGTGCTTTCCTCCCTGCAGGGATGAATGATTGCCTGCAGAAGAGAATGATTTCTTTTCCTTCCTCTCTGCCCCACAGTCAGATGTCCTTACACCCACATCTCCCGGGGTTTCTGCCTGGGTCAAGCAGGTAGGAAAATCCCTCTGCCCAGGATGGGTTGTTTGCAACTCTAAAGATTCAGCAGGGGAAGAACATACCAAGAAGGAGAATTTACTTTGTGCAGAAGTTTAAAAGGCCTCAGGATGGTTCACATCCTTTCATTTATGGAGTTTTTTTTCCCTTTTCTTTCTTGTTTCCTTCCTCAGCACAGGGTTTACCTATGGCCTGGACAAGTGTGAGGTTGCTTTGAAGGTGCTGAGCTGAGCATGCTGTACATGTTTCTGCTGTGTGGAGAAGGTGGATTTAGGCTCAGGTAGCAGGTGCTGAAAGCTGAGCCTCAGGGCAAAAACTCTCCATTTGTGTTTTTCAGTTCTTGCTGTGCCTACTGCAGCTGTTGCTTCATTTTTACAAGGTTTCCTCAGAAAGGTTTTGCAGTCAAAGCACTGAAATGTTCCTCCTCTTGAACCCTTGAGTTAAGGATAATCTTGTGCTTTATCTGAGGAGGAATTTGGGGAACACAAACTGGTAAAGCAGGGATGGTCTGGTGATTTAAGCACCAGATTTTCTTAATTTCAGAGTCATGCTTGAATGCCTCGTGTTTTCCAGATGTTGCTTTTTTTCTTCAATCCTTTTCACTACATTGGTCCCAGAGGCATTTTTTGAGCTTCTGGATATCCACACTGTATTTTTTAGGGTACAGTGGCCATGTTCTGGGGTGGGCAGCAGTCAGTGTTGAGCTGGACATGCTAGTTCATGTAGATTTGTAGAGCTGTTTGTATTTCTACAGTAAAGCAGAGAGGCTTTCTCCTCTTTGTCATCTTCTAGCCTGGCCTTCAGTTTGTATTTATCTAAATCCTTAAAACACCTTGGTTTGAGGAAATCACAATTGCTATTGCTTCAGGTTTCTGTTACAGTCAGCATATTTAACTTGGCTGTTCCTTAGATGGAGTGATCTCAGTTTTTATCCTCACCTTGATGGACAAAAAGAGCAGAGCTTTACCCATTTCTGGCAGGTAGGTATAAATCTGGAGAGTTTAGTACATCTTTGATGGCCAGACTAAGCAAATCCGACCTGTCCAGGCTTTACTTGCTGAGCTGAGCTCTCTGGATAGTCCAGATAAGTGAGAGATCCAGCCAGGTAAAACCAAGCCCATTTACCTGGTCCTGTCTCTCAGCTTTTCCTCCCTCCTAGCAGCCCTTGTTGTTTCTAGGACCCCAAGGAAGGCCAAGGTTTGCACTCCCCAGCCCTTGTTTTTCATTCCCAGGGCTTTCTTATCCCAATGGACCCCTTCAGCTGACCTTGGAGTTCCAGCTTAAACCATGGCATTAATTTGGCTCTTTTTTAGCAGCCATTTCATTCCTCCACCAGCAGCTATTTCAAACAGAGGTGCCTTACAGCATGGGCAAGTTATGCCCCTGCAGATTATCTTCCAGGCCTCAGTAGCCTTTGCAGTCTGGCTCTTTGCATTGGGCACTATCAAAGCATTCTGAGCCCAGGAGGTCACTTTATCTATTTCTGAAGTGTAAGGAGATGGTTCTGTGATGGGTTTATTTTGTTCTTTCTTATTAAGGCTATTTCTTCATGAAATAGCAGAATGAAAATAGTAACTCATCAGCCATCCAAAAATAAATAAAAATAAAAGTAAGAGAGGTCTATTTATGTTTCCTGGTGGATTTATTTCTACCTGGGAGCAGTGTGTGAGTGCTTTCAATGTGGCACATGAATCTCAAATGCTTAGGCCTTTAATAGCACAAAAAATCATCTGTGACCTGCTGGTGAAGGTCAGCTTTGAACCAGGAGATATTTGGAGTTCCTGAGGTGTTAATCCCAATCCTGGTGCAATAAGTCTGCCTGATGGAAAGGTCAATTTGCCATTTTCTGGGGTTTACTCAGGTAGGAATTTTCAATAAAGTTGGTGTGACTCTCTCTGAGATGTAACTACAGGTGTGGGAGTTGAGGGGGCATTCTTGGGATGTCCTGGGCAGGGCCAGCAGTTGGACTTGACCTTCCTTGTGGGTCCCTTCCAGTTCAGGATATTCTGTGGATTACTTTCCTCCTCACAGTTAAATGCTGCTGGTGCCACCTCTGTGTGTTGGAATGGAATGTGATTCCCCAGAATGGGTGTTGATGGTTGACTGTGGGTGAGAGGAGGGAAGAAAACTCTTCATGGCGGGTCACTGTGTGCTGAGATTTTCTTTTGAAGCCTCAGCTGCTCTCCCAGAGTGGATCTGGAGCCACATGGACCAGTCTTGACAGTTCTCCTCTGTTAGAATCTGAAATGTAAAGAACTCTCAGAACTTTGGGCCTGTAAGCCAAAGCTTAGAATTAAACGCAAGATCTGATCTGAGACCTTGGAAAAGGCTTCCAAACTTAAGTGATAGAAGCAAGAATGCGGATTTACAGTTTAAAAAAAAAGACAAATTAAATTAAGTAGAAAAAGTTGAGAGTTTTAGAGTTTAAGATATAAAAATAAAAGTAGTTTGAAGGGTAAACAAGGCGTTTAGAATGCAGTACTGTAGGTTTGTGTGTCATAACATGATTAGCTAAGAAAACTTACACTGTAACATGAGTCCATAAGATGGAATATATAAAGATTGAGTCAAAAACATAAATATCCTTGTTAGCACTGTTTTATTAGTCAATAAATCCTTAAAAGGTCTTGTAACTAAAGGTCTTGTGACCTTCTGAGCCATACAGTAAAGATGTGAGCCAAACTCACCCTTCCTGCCTATGTAGAAGATAAGAAAAGAAACCACATCATCAAAAACAATTCAGAAATCCCGTCTCTAACTCATTCAAAACTCTTTCAAGATCCCCATTCTCCTCTTCCCAGTGCCTTTGGAATGGCAGCACTGGCAAAGGTGAGCCCAGAGCAGAGGTGCTTTAGTCTGTGTTCCATTTGCACCTGCCTTTGGTTTCTCCTTCTTTCTCGTCCCATTTCCTCTTTAGTTCCTTGACTTTTCCTTGTAAACTTTGTGGGTTTGGGTGCTCCTTCCCCAGCTGTCTGAGCAACATGGGGCAAGTTGGCCTCTCCTGAGGAGCTGTGCGAGACCCATGGAGCCATTCCCAGATCCTGCCCTCTCCTTCCCAAAGCTGCCAGCCCAAGGAAGAAAATCCATCCGTGGTGTTTCACAACTGTGGGAATCCAGACCTGTAAGCACTCGCCTGCTCACAGATGTGCAGATCACATTTAGATTGGGTGATCACATTTAGAGGTGTTACTTGGGGGCCTTGTTGCCTAATTCTGGTGTTTATAGGGACATACTTGAGCTGGAAACAGGAGGTTGTTTGTGTGGGACCTTCCAGCTTTTGTCAGTTCTCAGCTTGCTCTTGAGCTGTCTGGAAACGTGTGCTGTTCTCTGTAGGTTCAACTTTCTCTCTTCACTATTTGCTTGATTTTTTTGCTATTTTAGGAACATCTCTAAGAAAAAAAAGCTTGTTCTTTGCTTTCTGCAACCTTTTAAAGGCTGGAAAGTGGCTGTTGCTGTAATGAGTTTGGAGTCAATGTTCAGTCTGATCCCCCTTGGTGCAGGGTTGACTCTGCAGCTCTGTCCCCAAGTCTCTGAACTTCTGTTGCTTGTCAGATGTTTTCTCAGCTAGGAGAGCAGGTTGTGTAAGAAACCATGTTAATGAGAAACCATGTTAATGAAAAACCGTGTTAATGAAAACTCTTGCCCCTAGAGAAGTCACAGTTTAACACTTTAATTTGCTTGGGAATAGCCGGAGGGTTTACCATGATCCAGAGTGTTAAAATCTGCTGATGGCTGGAGATTAGAACCCCTTTAATTGTATTTCCAACATGGCTTTTCCCAGGCAGGACTGGGATGTGACATTTTGTCCTCCGAGCCAGGTGGGAGGTTTGCACCTCTGGATTATCCTGTAGCAGCATCCATACTCCGTGTCCATGGCAATGCTGAGAATGAAGGCTGTGCTTCCCATTTCCAGTGCCAGTCCTGGGAGCACTGGGAACATCACCTGTGTCCCTTGCTCCGAGACATTCCAGGCCTTACCACTGCACTGAGATCCTTTTCAGGTTTTTTAATGTCCTTTTCTTTCCAGCTGGCATTTCCTAGGTGTGCATCCCTCAAGAATCTCTGTTTACCCCTCATTTTTTGCTGCCAAAGGGATCCTCACTCCACAGCCCTGTCCCACACGATGCCAACCTGCTTACCTTTGGCTGCTGCTCTTCCCCAGTGCCCAGCTGTGTGGGGAAGGACACCCTTGGCCCGAATGCCTCGCCCAGGAAGAATGCAGACAGTCTGGCAGAGCGCAGGTTAAATAAAGTTTGCCTTGGCAGGGCTCTTGGATGTACTCGGAGCTGCCGGGGCGTAGTGGTGACGGAATTGCAAGCACGAACACCAGCTGCCAAGAGGAACGGCTCTCCTGGCCCTGCTGGCTGACTCCTGTCCTCTGGGAATCTTGAAGAACTGGCAGAATCACAAGCTTTTCCCTACCCCAGCGCCGTGCTGACACTCCCAGCAGTGCTGCAGAGCCTCCTGCCAGTGAGGCCAGCAGCACCAGCAGTGCTGCACCCTGAGCCCTGCTAAATCAGGGAACCTTCCTGTGGGATTCATCCACGGCCTCTCCTCATTCTGAGGGCAAAGATTTTAGGCAGTGCAAGTTCTGACTGATGGCTGTGGTTTGTGCTGTGACTAGGGAGTGATTTCACATCTGGGCAAGAGGGTCCATCCATATGGTTGGTTTAGAAACTGTGCCTGGCCAGCCCTTGGGTGGTGGGGACACATCACCCAGTGCAGCTGCAAATCCCTCCAAGCCCTTCTGTGGGGCAGGGATTTGGGGATTTGCAGGTGGTTACTGGGAAAGGGCACAGTACTGCCCCAGCAGCAGGGACCGTCAGCAGTTCTGCTGGATTTTGGATGGGAACAAAAAAGTCTTGGCTGTGCGAGTGAGGAAACCCTGACACAGGGTATCTGGAGAAGCTGTGGCTGCCCCTTCCTTGGAAGTGTCCAAGGCCAGGTTGGATGGGGCTTGGAGCAGCTTGGTCTAGTAGAAGGAACACCATCACCTGCCCAGATGAGCTTTAAGGTCCCAAAATCAAACCTTTGGGGATTCTGTTATTTCATTGCTTGCCATCAGTGGATGGAGCAGGACTGGACAGCAGGATGAGAGGGGGATGAAGCATCAGGATATTCATGGCTTGTCATCCTTGGAGTGTGTTTTGGTCCCCAGGAAAGACATCCTTGGCTGTCTTGGTAGCAGAGGGAGTGATGAGAGGAGCAAAGGCTTCCAGAACAGGGCTTATGTCCTTCCAGTCCTTCCTGAGGGTTGTTTGTAGTTAAACACCAGTTCCTCCAGCTCTGTCTCAGATTGTGCTTGGAGATAACTTAGGAGCTTCAGGCCAGTTGTATCCCTGAGCTGGGCTTCCTTTAGTCACCAGTGACTCACTTGGGTTCCTGTGATTAGCAGGGGGATGGGGCTTTTTATGACCTTTGCTTGTCCCACTTGCCTGTAACACAGGGAACATATCCCACTTTTGGTGCATGGAAAACTCAGCTAATTAAGACTTGTGGAAATCTTTGGTGTACAGACATGAAAACTGCACGTTAACAAACCCAAAGAAGCTGATTTAACCCTCTTGATGGGTGGAAATAATCCCAGCTGGGTTCCAAGCTGGACTTTTCCTGACCTTTGTCCCTGTC